GACCTGGCATTCATTCCGCTGAATGATGCTTAGTTGTCTGTGTTTTACATACTTTTATGTATTATATGTAGTAGAGTTGACATTCATATTTAATATATGTATAGACACACTTACACATGGCCTGGTATAGTGGTAAAGACTAAAAGGAAATGGACAAATAATTCTTATTTTAAGTTACAAAGTTTGAAGTAATAGTAAGAGCCAGGTTGCTTTTAGTTATTTACTACTTTTGACCTTTTCTTCTTTTTTTTTTGTCCTAATTGTAAACTTTTGAACATTCTTTCAGTTAGATGAAGTTTATTAGGGTTGAAATTTATACAAATAATGTTAAGCATTTGGCAAATTTGAGTGATTGTATATTTAGTAATCTTTGAGATGACCTTTATACCTGGCCATACACAAATTTGTTACAAAGTATTCTGGCTGAAGGGTATTTGTGACAAAGTAGCATGTGGGTGGTCATGTAGGGTGTGCATGGGGTACACTGATGGACAGTATGGTTAGGACGGGAATTCAACTGGTTCTTGCAGGCTTGTACCACTGAAGAAAGTTTCTTACTATTAATTGATTCTGTGGATATTTTCCTGTTTCTGTTTTTATAGCTTGACTCTTTGAGTTGTTTTTATTTGCTCAGTTATATTTTCATTGCAATGTTTTGTTTCTCTGTTTGTTTGTTCCAATCACAGTCATCTACATGTCATCACACTATCCACAGGAGTTGCCCATGCTGTCAGTCACTTAATATTTCACCACAAACTGGGTGGGGCTGCTGCTGTCCCAAAAGACCACTCTGCCGTTGTTCTGGCGAAAAAGTCCATTGCAACCCACCTGTCGCCCAGACTGGAAAATATGCTACTGTCCCCGCCTACCTCTAGAGACTATTTCACATCTTCCCCTCCTAAAGAGGCCCATACTAAAGAACGCTCCACCTTGACCCCTAACAAAAAGGAAAGCCCCATGTCCTCCAGAAAAGACCACCAGGCCCATTCGCCATCTAGAAGGGACCGCCATGATACAAAACCATTAAAGAAGTATATCACTTGTCTTTCTTTTTTTTAACAACACTCACCCTGCTTTATAGATTTACAATTCCCAGTAAATCTAAAAAAAAACTTTTAAAAAAAATTTACACTTAGTATTGTGTTTGCTTCTTTTTTTTTATTTCATGGGCATAACTCAATATTTAGGGATATTTGGGCATCCATTTTTTCTTACACATTTTTTACACTTTTTTTTAATGGCCAAAATGAAAATCTGTTTGGTACACAATTCAGGACTAACATTTGTTTTTCTTACTGGGCTTTTGTTTTTCTATTTGTACATCTATTGTTGCTTTCAACTTGCTTTGTTTAGGTACAACTAAGAGAATTAATTTTTAGTCTGCTTTGTTTTATGCCATTTCTATGATTTGGATGTTCTCTTTTTGTTCAGTGTCTTGGGGTAGGTTACAGTGGGTAGAACATTTGGGCAGTAGTGTCAAGAAGTGTTTATAGTGGTAAGAGTACAATGGCAGTAGTGTCAAGAAGATAGTATACATTTAGGCAGTAGTGTCAAGTAGAGAGTATAGTGGGTAGAACATTTAGGCAGTAGTGTCAAGTAGAGATTCTAGTGGGTAGAGCATTTTGGCAGTAGTGTCTTGTAGATAGTATAGTGGGTAGAGTATAACAGCATTTTTGTCAAGAAGAATAATGTTGATCATGGTAGCTTTTTCAAATACACTCTTCTGAATTTTTTTTTTTTAATCTTTGGTAAGATCCCCTCCCCCCTTTTCCAAAGCCTTGGAGTACAGATAAATAACTTAATACTAGAATTTAAAGCATTGGTCATGTGTAAACAGAACTTTCAAGTAGTGTACCAGGTCATTGAATAATTACACAGCTTAGAATGCTTAATGTCTATAAACATTTTGAAAAGAAAGGGTAAAAAATACATTTGTATCCTTAAATTTGTGAAATGAGCTCTCCTATTTATAAATATAAATTAATTGAAGAATTAATACTAATACTTGTTCAGCTTTATTAGCAAACCTTGTAGTCAAGTTTAGAACAAGAAATGCAATTTTAAAAAAATACTATTTTGACAAATCAGTACAATAATCACAAACGCTGCACTGCTTAATATGCAAGCCAAATAACAAAACCCAGTATCAAAGAGCTTTAATTTCATATTACAATTTCCCCTTTTTTTTTTTTATTTGGCTTACATGGACTTGTCTGTAGTCTAATGATCAGGTAAGTTCATACCTTCAGCATCATTTTCTCCATTTTTAGGTCTATTTTGTTCAGTTTCTGTTTAATTGGATCTCATACATGTTTTGTGAGGCATGTATTTTTTTTTTTTTTTTAATATAATGACTTCATTCAATGTCTCCACTAAATTTTATCTTGTGTCTGTATCTTATTTCATTTTGTTTTGACTGCTTCTGAGTATCTTTTTGTGTCAAAACTTGGAACTGATTCCATTGTATGCATGGTCATCACCATTCATCTCCCCTTACATGTCATTTTCTGTTGTATTGCTGGATTCTATGTCTTTTTTTTAACATGTCAGCCTCTCTATATTAATATGGTACCTTTACTTAATATCATATGTTTCTAAGAATACTTTTTTTCACTGATGCATGCAGAAATGCAAATCTTTCATATCAACTATTTATTTATTTAAAATTATTGCACAATTTTGTTCTGTGGCTATTACTATGTTTGATGTATGACTTAAATTATATAACATATCACAATTTTCAGTCAGGAGGGAAAACTGTGTTTTTCTTGGTTTTTAACTTTTTTTTTTTTGGTGCCCAAAGTACTGGGGGATTCAAATATTAAATAGAACACTATTGCATGTTAGCATTGTTTCTTGAAAGCAAGTCACACTAACACTCTAACAGTGCACTTGGTGCTACTAGTGTCTTATTGTATACACATGGAACTTAGTATTAAACTAGATTATTAATTTGATAGCTTTATTTTTATTTTATTGCACTTGACTTTGCCAACAGAAATCAATTTTAGAATTTTTTTTTGTTAAATAAATATTCATTTGTATTTGTTAGCTTTATTATTTCTTTAGTGCTAATATAAGCTTTTGTTTTTGTCATTAGTTAGAAACTAGTGCTATTAATATATATATGTAGTTCTTAGACAATTAGAATGAAAAATCTTGCTTTTTAATAGCGTTTTATTTTTACTTGTTATGTTCTTTTAAATATTATCTTTCAAATGGGTTGCTGGAGAATAATATTTAATATTCATATTTTCTTTGTCCACTATCAGCAAGTGATTCAGCTCTACTAGAAGTCCAGCCTGAGAAAATTCTTCAGAAAACCGCTAGACGTCTGTCCATCAGAAGCAGAAGGTCCTCAGGCTCCAAGGCTGTGTCCTCAACAAGCCCCAGCCCAACCCACACATCTGCCACATCATTCCAGCTGCCTGACAGCCCACAGTTCAGAAACCACAAAATGAGCAGCACTAGCAGCAACAGTAATGACATTGTGGACAGCCCCAAGTCTAAATCCAGCAAGAAAGATGCTGAGAATGGAGCTAAGGCCAAATCAGGGAAGTCACGCTCAGAAAGCCCGAAATCCAAGAGCAAAAAATAATGATAATACAGTACTCCAAAAAAAAATAATTGTATGTGGTGCTCTGGTTTAATTTATTTCATCCCTTCAATCCTAATGGCAGAATATATGAATGTGATAACTTTGCATTGTATAGACATTGTACTGCAATCATCTTTATTTTATTAAAGAATATAATGAAACTATTGATGGAAATTATTGTACAGAAAGAAATATAAGTGATAAGAAGTGATTTGATCAAACAGATACAATCTGATACCGATCCATATTTTAACAAAAACATGACCAAGAAATGATATATTTGTATTTGTGGCATTCTATTTCTTTCTAACTATATTTATGCTAAAACCTCCTAACATAAACTTTGTAATAAATTCCCCCCCCCCCTTTTTTTTTATATTAATTATTTTGTTTTTTATATACAGTTTATCTCCTTTTTTTTTCTTATATGAAACTAATATTTGAACGAGCTTTTGTGTCCAACATATTATTTCATTAGTCATGTTTACTGTTCTAACACATTAGAGATGTCAGATCAGATAAGCTGTTTCAAACCAAACAGCAAAGATTTGTCAAGTTATAGCCCATTGGGAAAAGTTCATTTATATTTTCTTTTGTTTCCTTTATTAAGAGCATTTTAAAGTTTTGTTGTTCTTTTTGTTTTTGTTTTTTTTTTTTTTTTTATTTAAAAAAAAAGCCTTTAACTACTGAACACTGGTTTCTATTTTGTCACAATCAAAACAGAAAGTTTAAATTTGAAAACTGATTAAGTGTGCATAGTTATCAAGTGTTTATTGTCTACTGAATGTCAGCTGATCACTGGCTTAGTTTTGTAGAATTAAAGATACTGAGACTGGGAACCTTCTGTGTGGTTGTATTGTTAGAAGAGATTCCCCAAATCAAGGATGTTCTTGACTTTATAATAATACAAATAATGTCAGTTAACTTCACAAAAATATTCATTAGTGTGAGATGCAGCATTATTTAATTTTTTTTATTGTATTTCTTTCATTTAATAAATAAATTAAAAACAAAATACATCCACTACCACATAAAGCTGTCAAATACCTCACCCACGCCATCTAGCCAAAAGAACATTTTTGTTGCATTGCAAGATGTGATTTGTTTATAGTGGAATATTTTTCTCAGCCTTTGTTTGACTTAGAAAACAAAAAAGTGCAATTGTAAAACTCTCAGGCATTTCAAGTTGTATTGATATTAGATTTTGTGCTTTTATTTTCATTTTCAATTATTTTTTGTTTCCTTAATTGGTTTGGCATTTTTAATTTTATCTGCATTTGATTTGGAGATGGACAAATAGATAGGAAATTTTTAATCTTTTTAATAGTATTATATTTATTGGTTTTAATTGGTGTGCAGGGTTCCCCTGCACAGGATCTTTAACATAAACACAAATTTTTTTTGCATGTTTTTTTTTCCTTGCATTTTAAGCTAGATGTTTCTTTCTAAATTTACTTAACAAATAAGTAGAAGTTAAAATACAAGGATGCAGTTAAAATGCAGTTTAAAATACAAGGGTGCAGTTGATCCTAGACATTTTTTTTAAGTACAGTATTTTAAACTAGATTTTTCATTTTCTTTCTCCAATTTAAAGAGTCCTTATGTTGTTTTTTTTATTTTATTTTAACTGTATAAGTAGTTAATAGCTAAAGACTAATGGACACTTTTTTAGGCCATATCAGCACTATCTTTACCTCTCAATACTATTGAGATCTTATCATGCCCAAATGATGTCTCTGAAATTTGTTTGTTCTATATCCTTAGAAACATGATGTTTTTAGTTGACATATCAGACAGAACCATCAGTTCAAAGTCTGTGTATTCAGTCTTGTACGTTGGCCATAGTTCTGTGATTTTCATTGTAATTGTATTTGCAATTGAATGGTATCAGATCTATCATGTACATAGTTTTACTAACATGTAGATAATACTGTTTGCCTTTGTTGTGAGAAAAGCTTTACAGTCTGATCTGTTATCTGGTAAAGGAATAGGATTAACATTTTGATTTGTTCAGTCTGTCTAGTCAGATTTGAACTGAATTGGCATAGACTTGTATACGCAAGAGAACTGCATCTTAACAGTTTGAAAAACAGCCAGCTAATGATCAAATTATGTGGGAAAAAAGAAGTGGGAATGCTAATGTGACTTGTCTATAATTGCTTAGTTTCCTAACTTATGGTGGCATATTCTCTGAGCCCCAAGTTCTAAGAAGATTGCAGTACTTTCTGTGGCTACACATTCCCAGCTGTGTCCTATATATTTTGTCATATCTAGTGCAGACAAAGCTCTGGCCTGCCATGAATCTATTCAAGTTCTCTTTTTGCTAGCTGTGCATCTCTTTGGCAGTATCTTTTCTTTGGGTGTCGAGGGTAATGTATCTTTGAAAGTTGCCATGGTTAAAAACATATTTCTCACAATGACTGCATAAGAATTGTAGTAATGCAATTAGGTCCTTTACTGAAAGGTCTTAATGTTGCAGCGGTCTAGATTATCTTTCTAGGGGGTTGTCTTTTAAGTTATAAATAAACTCTCGTTAGTCCAACAAGGTATCTAGATGCTCAATTTTGAACTATTGTGTAAGCAAATTGGCTTTTATTCATAGCTTCACATGCTATTAGTATATGGCAGCCTCTGTGTAATGTTATTAAGATGACAATGGAATGACTGTGTTATGTTTTTTTTTTCATTTGCTAGTCACCAGTATTCTTTGCTAACTTAGTTGTAAATGTTAATTTGTCAAGTAACTGAGTGCATTGACACAATGCCTCTTGATAACTAGGTGGACTACTGTAGGGCTGGTCTATGATAGCTTCTCGGTTTGGTTTGAAGTCTCTCCATTCCATTCCCTCTATTTTATGATGCTTGACTTGATTCTTGAGACAGTGAAGCTCTTCCTAGAAGTTGCAATATTTTGTAAAAACAATTATTTGTTTCTCTCTGTAATCCAGTGCCATTACCTACATGTTGTAACATCTGTTCATCGTAATCCTGATCTATACTAGACAATAATCTTTCAACAAAATTTTCACTAACCTGTTTAATACATGTATTGTTTTCTGCCATTAGTACCGTAAAGCCCATGACATTGGCTGTAGTGCATTGGAATGAGTTCTCTCTCTTCTCACTATTCTTTTCTCTCCCTATGTGTCAAGCCATATAATTGTCTTGTGTATTATAAGAATAACAACTTGTACAAACACTTTGTTCTGTTATGTCTATTCAATATTGGCCCCATTTGTTCTGACAATGTTATTGAGATGTATTATTCAAGTCTGTACTAAGTGATTATTGATTGAATGAAAGCAAAAAAAAAACAAAAAAAAAAAAAAATTTGTGGGTTAATGTTTCTTATAAATACATCTACCATTAAACAAGTGTTCATAAAGTGAAGTGTTTGTGTTTACTCATGTGAGTTTAAAGTAAAGTGTTTATGTGTTTACCTTTTTGAGTTTAAAGTGTTATGTGTTTACTTGTATGATGGATAGTTGGCTCAATTAGTTCTTGTTTGCAGTCTTGTTTATAGTCAACGTTTTTTTAACAACAATAATTATAAACCGGTATATAGGTCTATATATAAAGCGTGTACTGGTATAAATCTTCAGTTATGCAAATATGCTAGATACATAAACACTGGGTAGGGGAAGTAATCTATTAGTCGGTGTTAGCTTGAATTTCTTTCGAACATTTGGCCTTACGTTAGACTCGGAAAGTTCAGCTTACTGCCACTGGTTGAAGGTTAGACTCGGAAATTTGAGCTTACTGCCACTAGATTTAGGATTTCTCATTTAGGCGCCAGTCTCACAGCGGGTAAAAACAAGTCAAACAAATTCTGAATACACAGGTTTTAGATGACATGTTTGGTTATAGGTTATACATGTGAAGTGAAAGTTGTTTAACAATGGCAGAGGTCCATTCATTGAAATGTTTACGTTCCTTTACAATTGTATGATTGTTTTTTTTTTTTTTTTGTCTTATTACCTCCCAGTAGCCTACTAGTTTTAGGTTGACTACGGTAGGTGTGAACAATTCTAAACATGGTTCTCCTATCTTTATATAGCGAAGGCAGGGGAGTAAACATATGCATCTTATGAGACTTGGCCTGTGTCTTAGCTTACCATTTTCCTTGTCGTCTGAAGTTGAGCCTACGTTTGTAATAAACGGTGTTGCCATTTGTTGACAAACAGAATACCTTTTGGAAAAATACGGAGCGTTATTTAATTAAGAATGTTTAGCCTAGTCTCTAGTTGTAACCAGCACCGGATCTATATAAGGCTAAAGCTGTTTGAAATATGGCGCCCCTTAAAATAAAACAAAATTTTCCTTTGTACTTTTTTATTTTGTAAGTTGTCTGGGGATCCTAAGCTTTTAGTGCCAAAAAGTAAATCCAGCACTGATAGTAACTATCATGTTATCTCGGACATCTACATATTATAGACCAGCCAATCTAAAACACTTAACGAATTTATATAAAGAGCCTTACAGCAACAGCTATTTAGTGTAGCCCCCGTATACCCGTCTACTGATCGCGTGATCTTATGTCAACAAGGTCACAACCTACATATATTTATGAAAGGAAAACAAATGTTTATTCAAACATTTTCTCCGTCCTAACCGGCGCTTTGGTATAGAAAGACAATTGCCTAGGCATTTAGCCATCCTGAGTTAAATTGGAACTATTTTAATTAGTAGCTTCTTTTTTTTTTTTTTTCAGAATGGAGATGATTCCCTTTCTGTATTTTCGTACCCACCCACCCACCCCACAAGCACACGCAAGTGCTGCTTAATATTCATCCGTGTTTCGTAGCAATAAGGCCGATGTTATAGCCTCCCCTGCGAAGTTAACAAGCAGCTTTGAGCTGATTAATCCACTTCCACTACGACTTGAGCAATAACTTCCCTCCCTTTTCAAATAAACTACAACTACTTTAAAAGTTTTCTTCTGATAGAACAACCCCACCTCCAAAACTTCGCTCCTTGCCGAAATAACGAATTAGGCCTACAGTACCTGAGTAAAGTGAGGAGGGGAAGTGATACTAGAAAAAAAAAAGTATATTACACACAATAGAAAAAAAAGTGTTTGGTTTCGATCTTAAAGTCACACAATGCAGACAATAGCGACAGCGGGCAGACTGCTGCGATGTGTAGTGTCCACTGGCAGCGAGACGGCAGTTGGTGGGGCTCTAGTACAACAGACAATTCTGGGATTTTTTTTTTTTCTTTCACCCTTCCTTTAACTGGAGCTGACTTATCAATTATTTCTTCCTGAAGACTTACTAATTAATACATCAGTTGAAACGTTACTAGCAGTGTCGTGTTATTCAATTAGGCAAACATCTACATTTGTAAGGTAGGTGGAGGGAAATAGTTCAGAAATGAATACATGAAAAAAAAAAAGTTAGGCTAACTATTCTCTATATAATTTAATGGTTTGAATTAGAAGACATTTTAATGGAGTCTTTATGGGGGGGGGTGGGGGGGGGGGTAAGTAGACCTTATTTATGAAAGGTCTTGTCCTATAAATTAGAGACGTTCATTCAGACGTATAGGCTACTCATGGGTCAATCTAGTAGTGAGTGTTGAGACTTAATAAAAGTCATTGGTTTTCCTGGCTGCTAAGGCAACTTGTTTTATGCTCTAATACTAATAATGGCAATTACAATAATTCGTCCTAGCATATGAAATAAGAAATGTCTTTCTAGTTATTTAATTAGGTTGTGCTTTTTGTATTTGTAAATCATTTCTTTCAGAAAGAACATAGATCTTATTTAGTTTTAGAACATAAAGTCATTTGTAAATTGTTTTTCCTCCCTAATAATTACTTTCTTTCATTACTCTTTCGATCACACAGGTCTTACTATTTTTACATTTTTTTAGAAGTAATAATTTTTATTATTCGGGCCGTAGATTTTGTGTATTGTTTGTGTTAATGCAATAAATTAATTTAAGTAATTAGGCCTAAATAGGCTGAATAAGTTTTCTTGCATTGTGTTAATAATATACGATTATTCAATTGGTAAGTCTGTATTTACTTTCTAAATTACAATTGTGGCAATTTAACTTGAAGAATAACTTGATAACTCATGACTTGACTGGGAGATCTAGATCTGATGCAGCAGTAAATTAAGTCTTTGTGTTTACCTAGGCTGTCTACACTTACATGTGAAGAATAGCAATAGACATGTAATCAACAAACAAAACAATTGGCCTACTACTTTACTCTCCTCACTCAGAGAGTCTTTAGTTTCAAACAAATATGGTTCCTAATGCTGCAATGCTAGCTTCATTGGAGATGTGTAACTGATTTGGCATAAACCGTCAGGCTACCTAACAAGTGGGATAGAGCTCGAATCCTGACTCAAGCAGAGTTATGATTGCTGAGTGTATCATAAAGGTAGCACCTAAACCTGACAGCCTACATGGTCCAATCTGGTCTTGGTGGGGAGAGGTATGTTGGAGAAGGGCTGCCGTGTTGCCTTAGCAAACACAACTGTTGGCTATCGACCCATGGATAATTAGCCATCGGTTTATGCTACCCAACCAAACATATAATTGCTGAGTTAATTAGTCTGGACAAAATAGCGCAGAACATTTTGTACAGCAGCTGTAGCATGAAAAATGCAATTTTGTAAAAATGTGATCAAATTCTTTACACGTTAATGGGGCGGTCATAATTCTGATACAGAATAATGAATACACTTTATTTTAAAAAAGTTTTCTAATATTATTTAATTCCTTTCCTTCGAAAAAAAAGATAATGAAAATATTTGCTCGTCTCATAACACAATGTAGATTGACATGTATAGGCCTACAGTTGAATTCTGAATACTTTGATCTAATGTCTAAATCGCACTTTTTCCCGGCAAGGTTCCCCTTCCATGCTCTGTAATACTGTAATATATGGCAGTTGGAAATGAGAAAAGTTTTAGATGAGTTTGTCCAAGCATGCAAAATTGTAAGAATCACTGCAGGAATAAGATGTATGTGCCTAATGGAAGCCTTAAAAAATGGTACTCTGTAACTAAATGGGTCTGTCTTTGTAGCTAATAGAAATCAAAATGTATTTTATGTTTGTGAATAAACTTTATTTAATTAGAAGCTGTGTCCCTGTCTGAGTCACACCCCTTGGCACTGCAATCTACGTTTGCACATGCACTAAACTTTCAATATTTACATGCTGGTCTTCTTTAGTTTTTAAAAATATATTAACCACATGATCGCTATATTCTACTATTAGAAGATAGGCCTACTATATGTTTGTTTAAATGACTTTGAAAGCAAATTAAAATTCGGTAAAGTATTGCTTGGAAAAAATTACTTAGCAAGCTTTAACTAGACTTGTTAAATTTAAAAAAAAATATTTTCCCGCAATATTATATATAATATATATTTTGATTTGTAGGCCCTATATGTTAAATTTATAAAGTATTAATTGGAAATAGATGAAGAGTATAAAGTACTTTAAACGAATGGGAAATAATTTTTACAGTGGAAGTCTTATTGGCAAGTTTTTAGCTTCGATGTTTTAAATGTATACCCCACCTTTTTTTTCCAAATCAGCTGGGATACTTCTAAAAATACTTGTAATCAATGCGTTGAATAATTTATGATTGATCGGAGATCAAAGTTTTTTTAAAAAAATCAATTTCAAAGCAGGTCTTTTTGTATTTTTAATTTCTGTCAGCATCATGTAGCAAGAAGACTCATAATATTAATGTACGATTTCAAAGTAGAGACCTACGATAAAAATTAAAATATTTAATTTTGTTGGAAACTGTCTAAGTTACAAATTTTATTTAAAATAAACTCAGCAAAAAAAAAATTGCTGTTTAAAATGCCGTAATATCTTTGCTATATTAGAGCAATTTGTAAGCTATTTTTATTTCATTAAAAAGCAGAACACATTTTTTTCCAATAATAGCCTATTCGACTTCGTTTTACAATAGCAAAACGCGCTCACGTTTTAGGCGTAGGCATAGACATAAATAAATATAGATTGGAAAAAGGAAGTAACGTCATGTAACTTGAAAACATGTATATCTATTGCATTCGGATTTCCGAATTATGAAAAATTGCATGATCTTCATTCTTAGAGATTAAACAAAACTCATAGACATAAATAAACATAGACTGGCCGATTAAAGAGTTTTATGAAACGAAAATTTGTGACTTGCAATTTTGTGTACTTTATTATAATGCATTTATGAGCAGTATAAAAGTTAAGTATTCATATCTATTTCAGCCGTAACCTATATAAGTATTACAATATTTTCACTAGTGTTTTTTTTTAAATCTCTCAGCGTGAAGATCATGCAATTTTTCATAATTCGGAAATC